CATGCGCCTTCTTCTCCTCCCTCCACTCTCCTATCAAGTGAGAAATGGGGTAATAGGGTATTTTATTTTATTTACAGTGGTGAAGATAATAGATGTCGAAATGTTAAAAATACACGCATTTTATAGATTATAAATCTTAATTACAAGGTTTTTTTTCAAATTTGAGCGTTCCAAACAAGTTTCATCTGTGAGCATATACGCCAGAGAATATTTTCTCTTTGTTTTCTCTATACATTCTTCTAACTTCTTCTTTGTTTTGGGAACAATCGAAAATCTTCGAAAACAAGAAATTTAAAGGTGAATTTTCCTACCATCAAAGGAGCTGATATATTCTGGGTACTTCCAATAAGCCATTTTTCGTGCAAATCATGCAGCTTTTGAAGATATTCCTACAAAATATTTAATTAATTCGAAGAAAATTTATATTTTCATTAATATCTTACGATATTAATTCCTTCTTCGCCTCTGCGTTGACGTCGTTTTATGCGCTCAGCACAAATTTCTGGTGTTGATCGTAGATAAACTGTAAAGCAAATTATTAATTTTTTTCTATTGACCTACTAATTAATTCCAGCTTAAACATTGGCAACCTTGACAAATAGGCGTAAAATTTTTTAATAACTTCATAATCACAATCCGAAATAGCCCCCCTAAAATCGTTTTATTTAAAACATAATTATCCTACGCATCGTGGTTCGCTTCCGTAAAACAGTGAAAATTACTGTGAATAGAACGTTCTATCAATCGAAATTTGGCGGTCTTGAAATTGACAATAAAATGACTTCGAGTTAACTACCTGTGGTTTGGACAACTGATCAGCGATCGTTGCCATTACATGCGACCGGAAAGGAGTACACCATTTACGAGGATTAGCGTAGAAGTTCTCCTGAAGATAAATTAACGAAAAAGTGATATTTTACAAATAGATTGAAACCGCCAACATCAGACCATTTATCAATAGGTTCGGGAAAAATCTCCATGTTCGGATAAATTGCATTAATTTCCTCAAGGAATGTGGATTTTCCACATCCAATATTGCCTTCAACGGCAATTCGAACTTTTCTATACAAAATTTATAGTCAACTGAATCAGCCATACTTATTGTCCATCAAGATACAGTATTTCGAAAATCAAATTTGTTGATAGATTTAACGAATCAAAACTTAAAGCGTTCTCATCCAATAAAATAAGCCCATAGGCCTATTAGATTGTGAAGGCCATTTATCATTACTTTTTACAAAACTATAACAAGAACACTTTGTGCCTTTATATACGCAAAAAAGTATAACTTTATGTTTTCCTTTTGAAGCATTATTCTTTTATTAAAAGATAAGATATTCGTTTTAATATTTTTTTATTTATCTCTTACCTAAAGTTTTCTCTCTTTTAGCACCTTAATTCTGCTATATATTTTCATTTAAGACTTAACTTTTTCGCATACTTTTCCCTTATAATGTTGATCAGAATAATGAATAAATATATATCTTTGTTTCCGTCGAATCAGTCATGATTTTCAGAAAATATCAGCTTTTAAATTTTTATAACATATTTTTTATTACCATTTTAAGGGCATTAAGCCTTAATCGCGAAATCGATTTATTTTAAAAACAAAGATCACCTTTTTACTTTTAGAACCATTCCATGCTAGTGTTTACGAAGATACAAATTCCCCTAATTTTTATTGTACGTATTTGTCCAAATGTCATTAAAGATAGTAAGCTACATTGAATAAGTTTTACTGAATTCATGAAATCGTAGCTGAAACAATGAGCGGATGCTTCTTATTTCTCTTCTTTCTATTTAAATTAATTGAAATGACAATTCGCATTCAAAATGTTTTATTGATTTTTTCAGTAATCTGCCCAAATATTGAATGTTTTCTTTAAGTATGGGTTGGGAAATCGTTTTTGTATGAATAAATTGAAGTTCCTATTTTCAATTATAATGTTTTTGAACGTTATAGCTATTTTGGACGTGTTATTTCGTGCTATCTTGAAAATGATCCGGTCATCTTAAAGTGCATGAAGTATATGGTATGCTATACTCTCTTAAATATAAGCTTTCCTTAAATAAGCTGCTAAAATATATTTTTGCAATCTCAGTTATTCATTTGCTTTAAGTCACATCGCCTTTTTATCAAGGAATTTGCCAAATCTTGAGTCATTTTATTATCATTAAAACCCAGGGAAATGAAAAAACATTTACCAATACTTAGAATAAACCTATGCCCGTAAAAGAATGGATCGAAATTATATTGGACGTAATTTCAAATTATCATAAGAGTTCCATTTCACATAATTACTGTTTATATAATGGGCAGTTCTCTGCTTCATTGTCTGTGATTGGAATTAGCTCACTTGTTCCATGAACTCTAATATAACTAGAGAGTTCATTGAAATAATCGCCATTTTACGAATTGAGCTTTACTGATTGAACTAATGTTAGTAATATTTTGGGTAAATTGAGTGATTAAAAGTTTGAATTAATTGTTGGTCTTTTACCTTTCATTTTTACTCTGCAAGTGTATAGAATTCATGCCTTTTGAGAAATAGTAGTAGCCAATTAATTTCAACCACTGTATTTTCATTTTCGAGCACAACATAGAAATAAGATGTTTCTGTATTTCGAATTAAGTTCGAAATACTTTTCCTCCCAGTTCCCATTTTTCACCTTAGCCTATTGCATCATCATTGATTAGTCTAGAATTTCATAAACCGATCCTCTGAAATGGATAGAAAAGTTTGAAGTAACTTATCAAATATTCTGGTCTTCAGATTTCAATTTATTGCAGGGGATCACATTATTTTTTAATTTCCTAAATTGTAGTAACCTGCAATTACTTACAATAATCTGCGCAAACTATTCTTCCAAAAATAAAATCGATAAGTCCTGACGTTCGCTTTCGAATTGAAATACCATTGTCAAACAAGCTAAAAATCGATACTCCACTCGTGCTATTGAAAGAAAGTTCATAGACAGTTTAGAATCATTTATTCATTTAACAAAATGTGGTAAATAGACCTTGGCGAACGCGCGACCAAAAATCGTGAAGCCGCCAGAGCCTAAACAAAGGCTTATTGTGTCCTTTCAGGGAAAATGATTTATCACTGGTAAGGCGCAATGACAGTAAAGCAAAAGAAGACTTCATAATGTTCTTAAAGTTTGGGTGAAAGTTGGTAATTTTCCCCAATGACCTGGCAAAATTACAGCTCAGATCACGTGGGTGTAAAGCTCCATTCTTCGCCTGTTTAATGACTTTTTTACCTCTTCTTGTATTCATATTTCCTAAACCTTAATTGGCCAAATACACCAATAACGTTAGGCCACTTATCATTCCTTGAAAACGAGCTATCCCAATAAGAATGCCCATAATTTTCAAACATAGATTCACTCGAATTGCCAACAATTACCAGTGTTATTAAATTATTAAAAACGGAGAAGACCTTTAATAGCTAGAATTCTCTTTTCCTCAAACAGGAAAAGCGGTGATGGAATGTCACTCATTAAAAAGTACCGATGTTGAACAGACATTTAAGTTCAAGCGAATTAACAAAATGCACGCAGACCAATCGAATGCCCAATAAAAATTCTCCAAGCTTACGTGTACAGACAGGTCAGCGGCTAGTACATAATGCCAGAAACTGATTGGCTGTTTTTAATACCACACACGCACACCAATGCACTTGAAAATCCAACAAAAAGCCGCGTAGTAGCCTTGCACCATTACTCATTTGCTTGTCGTGGTGGCTTGCGCTGGCGTGTTCGTTGGTGTTTTGTGCTGGTTTGGGGGTGAGTGAACGAAGCATGGCAAGAGAAGCGGCTCTTCTCGCGATTTGAGACTGGGTTTCGTTAGAATTAAAATTTCGCCCTTCTGAGATCGCGATTACAGCTGATTCCTTGTTAGTGAGCTACTTATACATTCAAATTTGTTTTTTGCCTTGTTTGAATCCACTTTAATTTTGCCGTTATCTGTCTTACTGTCGTGTAGTAATTTAAAGTAGAAAGAAGGTATTGGGGATTTATAACGGTTGACCACACATGGCTTTGTCTGGGGTAGGAGTAGTGCGTCAGCTAGTATTTTTTTCCAGTAATGAGTTTTGGGTTTATTGGGCATGTTTTTGGGGAGACCTGACTTTAAAAGGGCATGCCCTTGTTTGCGGTTGCACTCATTGTTTTGCTCTTCTATTTCGACGACCTTGACTAGGCAGTAAGTACAAGACTACCTTGGAAGAGCAAATATCTAGGGTTGGTTTATCGTATGGTAGTTGGAGTAGTTTAAGAGTTCAGGACGTAACCTAACAAATTCGTATTTCTATATCTGCTAGAGCTAAGGTACGACGCTGTGCACTTGATTAAAAAATCGAACGGGCTTTAGGTTGCGACCTATACTTAATCTAGTTTGAATGATCTTGGGTCCTTTCGTTATCACATTTTAATAACGCTATAAAGGCAGACCAACAAATGTAGAGGGTCTGACTCACTACCCCAATGCAATGCGCTCCTCGCATCAATAAATCGATATGAAACAACACAAAAACGCGTTCCCAGCCTGCCTGTTTAAGTGATAGCTCAAAGTGCAGTCTATTGTAGACACGTTTAGCACGCCAAATTACTAATACCTCTAGGGTAAGTAATGGGATGCGTTTGTGCTGGTTCGCTACCAAGAGCTAACTCCCCTCCTCTCCCTCCCCCATTGCTCATCGTTAAAACTTTTGTTAACATCTGACTCATACGGCACTTTGAAAGAGAGGTAGGTAATTATCTTGACGGTAGACTACTCCAATGGGCATGTATAAGCATGCCTCTGTACAGAATTTGCTGAGTACGTGATCAGTTTTCTCTGTGCATTTTACAAAGCCCAGTGTCTCGGGTCAAAGCCATAGGGGTGTCCATAAAATGTGGCACGGAAACTACTTATGGGGTTTGCCAAAAAGTAATGAGCCTGGTCTAGGATTTGGACACCCCGGTCTGGCTTTTGGGCTTGAACTTAAACTCATTCAACGACAACTATTATATGTTCGCACAACTTTTTCTTATTTGACATTATTTTGAGTACACATATACCATGATATGGTTGATAATTTGCATAAAAATTTCGCGTAGATGGTTATTAACCTAAAATGCTCCTTGACCCTCTGAAGATAACAAAATCTTGACCTGACAGGTGCATATACATGGCCTAAAGGCGTCCGTTTCTTGATCGATTTAAATTAAATGTTGGCTAAATCAGTCTTCCAAATGAATGAGTTTTAGAAAAAAACACTTAAAAATCTTAAAATTAAGATACGTATATTCGATATATTCTAGTCGACCTATCGCGTAAACTCGAACTCAAGGTAACCCAAATTACTGAAAATGATACTTTATTTTGTTAAACTAAATCTACTAGTACACCAATTGTATCATATCTCTGAAGTATGGATATGTGATCTTCCAAAATAGCTTATAAATTAAGGATTATCACCCATTTAATTATTTAAATCAATACCCGCCACAAACTAACCTATATTAAAATTTAAACTGGAGAGGAATGTTTCTATTTTTCGAAAGTAAGTTCAACTTTTCAAATTGGGAAATATTCGGAGAAAAATTACGAGATTTTTCATGTGATCTCAAAACGCGGTGACAACCCTGAAATTTAAGAATATGGAATTTTGCTACTAAAATTCGGAATTACAATACATAGGGATTGTAGAAATTTAAAACTTAATTTTCCAAATTACCTTCCCAAATGGTAACTTTGGAACAGGAACTTGGTCCACCAAAATATTTGTTACTAACTTGAATAAAGTAGTGCTAGCATTTAAATAAAGTATTTTGAAGATTACCACCAACCGGTAGCTTTTTATCATTCAAGGCAGAATTAAAATTCAATGGGCATTTGATAACATATAAATATCCCATTCATTTATTACCATATTATTTCAGGCGAAAATAGAGAAGGTTGATTCAGATTACTACTTAATTTAAAGCAAACAAATGACTTTCGTAATCTATTTAAACGAGAGGAACTCATGAAACCCCTCATCTTCTATCTACTCCCCTCCGGGAATTAAAAACGGAAAAGTCTTATCCAAATATTCAGCATCTTATGTCATCGGGACATTATAAGTGGCTTATTTTTATACAATATATTACGTGGATAAATAATTTTTAATGAATAGTCGATACTCAGTAAAATTTTCCTCTAGCAACCCTAAAATAAAATGATAATATTTTTTTGCTAGCTAAAGAATGTCTAAACATGAATCTGATGTATATAAACCATAGTTTGGAAAACATCAGAAGTGTCAATGATGAAAAAAGTGAAAAAGAAATGTGTGTCAAATTAGAGGCAAGGGAAGCATCTCTCCCACTTAACCTAATAAAGTAGTACTGTCAACCCGCACTAATAACATTGAACTTTTTCCTTCGTTAACAGGTTTCCCAACAGTGATACTAATATTTACCTCGCCAATGGGAATTTAAATGTCTAGATCATCCAAATAAGCGCTTTTAGCAGGCCAACGACATTAAGTCTTTATGACTCACCTAATTTGTCATGCGTGCATCGGCGAAAAATGACAAGCTTTCACCTTAAGAAGCCACCCCCGAAAACACAAGCATTGTTATAAGAGAGCTAATGATTCAAATGTTATGAAGCACCTAGAATGGCTGTATTTGCTAAAAGCTGCACAACAAGTGAGTAAACGCACAATACTAGTGAAGTGACATCTGATTGGTCACCGGTGCTTTCTAAAGTGATAAGAGTTTCTTTGTGGCAAAGAACACGTAGCATTCTGTTATTTTCATAGCTAATAATTAGTGCCAACCGCGCAAAATGGGCTCTTTAATGTCAAAACAATCCAGTGGTAATACAGTTACAACCAGAAATCATACATCTGAAGAAAACTCCTTCCAGAATTTCACAAGCTCGCTTCGTCGTTCCCTGCGCATCAAACGTCGTTCTACAAATGCCTCGGATTTGCCCAGACCTCAATCACAGTTGTCACCCTCAGACCCATCCAAAACTCCAGCTCCAGTGAGATCAAAACTACCGGAAATCTTCAAGCAGCAACCTGAATCTACTACTATTCATACACCTTCTCCAGCGGCTCCAGAAAGTGTTAATTTTTCATCTATTTCTAAGGTTGCACCTACTCCAGATCAAGAATCGCCAAAGATCAAGATTCCACCAGAAGAAGTTGGCAAAGCGATGAATGTCCTAAAGGAAGCTATTGAAACAAAGGGCAAGGAAGCAGCAGGTTTTGTAAATCAGAAAGCTGAAGAGATCGGTGAGAAAATTGAGGAGACTGTAAATACGGGACTTCAGCAAGTACGCACATTCAAAGATGATGTCATCGTGAGTGGCAAAGAAGTTAAAGATGTCATTGATAAGAAACTGAAAGAAGCTGGGGAGAAAGTTCAGACACAAGTTGATGAAGGTCGATTGGAAGTGGAGAGTATTCTTTCTCGTCTATCTCCAGCTGGTAAATCAGAAGAACAGAGTCCAGAGGTTGAAATTACTCCAAAACCTGTTAAAACAAGCCTTCTAGCATCTCTTGAGAAGCGTAAAATGCAGAGGGAAGAGGTGGAGGAAAGGG